GTAAAAGTTTCAGCTTAAAGCCTTCAAAAAAAATGAAGCCTGCAAACATCCTGGTTTTAAGTCTGGTGAAACCCATACCAGATTTCAGACCTTAAGAACTGTAATGTAATAAATTTGGGTTTTTTAATCACTAAATTTTTGAAAATTTATTGTGGCAGGATAAGAACTAAATTAAATTTCTCTCTTTCAGTGTAGAACTTGAAATAATCATTAATTTAATGAGCAATTTTTATGGCTATAAGTGGCAATCAGTTTTGTTTTGTTACCAGCTTTAAGAAATGAATTTTTATTGAAGGTCATGCCATGGGAAGGGGGGAAGGCGGGGAGGGGCAGTAATGCCCTGAGCCACACTCTGGCCAAAATGTTGCAGGTGGGCCCTGGTGTTATGGAGTTGATTACCAGGACAGAAAAGAGTAGTAGGGAGCAACTTCACAGTATGTTTTAGGGGTCTATACTGTGGCATGTGCACACAGGTTACATGCTTCTTCAGCCTTCTACCATTTGCTTCTGTGCATCCATATTTTACTTGGTTCTGGAGCCACCACCTGAAAGCCAGAAACCTCTGTAGGGTGCAGTGTATGTTTGTTAATCACTGGTGATGAGCTAAATTCCTACTAACTTGGTGTCTCAATAGCAGGAAAGTTAAGCAACCAAAGCCCAAAGAGTCTTGTAACAAATCCTCCCTTTGTTTTGTGCCATTCCTCATCCTGGAGGAATTTTAAAGGAGATAGTTTCTCTTCCACACTCAGAAGAGGTGTCACCCAGGATGTTAAGAGGAATGGAATTTCACTTGTGTGAAGCAGAGATGAATTTGGGTATCAACTGGCTTGTTCCAACTGTTCATATTCTTGGGACTGGATCATCAGTTTAATGGACTCTAGTTGCTTATTCAGGAAGATTATCAGACAGTTAAGGAAGTAGAAACCAACAATAATAGAAGTATAATTATAATAGTATAATTTTCTTTGCTACATATCTATAGAAATACAAGTGATTCTGTACATTAACCTTTTATATAGTTACATTGATATCTTTGCCTAGTAATTCAGATTATTTTCCTATCATTTGTCTGAATTATTGGTATATATAAACTTGTTATCTGCACATAGTGGGGTTTAATTTTTTCATTATATTCTTTTTTATTTTTCATCCTTACAGCCACAACTAAAACCACCAGTGAACAGGTTGCTGTTGTAACAGATACCAAAACTGTGACACGGGCCTGAGAACTGAGCAGTGCACAGAAGATGGAATGATATTAAGGAGCAAATTAATGAAATTCTAAACTAGCTTGAACAGACTTTTAGTAAAAATAAAGACTTCAAAGACATTGCTGGTAATAAGTGGTTCCAAAGTTTGTTGTTGATGTTGATTTGTTTTCTAATTCAAATTCATCCAGATCTCAGGCTTTTCTTACTTTAAAATATGCAGTGTTCCCTTGCCTGTCTAGGTTATGAATCAGCTAATTAATGGACACACTAAGTAGTGAGTCATTTCTTCTATAACTGAAATATGGGGTTTCAGTCTTTCAGAAAAAGCAACATATTAAATGATATGTTTGAATTCTGAATTATTTATTCAATTAGTAAATATTTACTAGCTTAAATTATAAACTAGTAAAGAAATGGATCATGCTTGATCAATTTTTAAAAGATCCATAATTTAGAAATTGATAATAGTGATAATGCTGACTTGAATAAATGACAGCAGAGACATAAGCATGATTAGATAATTATAAATTCAAAGACAAAAAAAGTATTTCATACTAAAATATACTGAGAGGGTATGGAGATAAAGGAGCTCTCTTTTACTGCTGGTGCGAATGTAAACTGGAAACCTGCACTTTGGAAATTTGTACGGAGTCTCCTCAGAACACTAAAACTGGATCTACCTTATGATCCACAAATTCCACTCCTAGGAATATATCAACAAAAAAAAATGAAAGGAAAGCTGCACTCCTGTGTTTATTGTAATGCTATTTATAATACTCTAGATGTGAAAACAACTCAAATTCCCCCAAACAGATTAATGGATCAAAAAGTCGTGGTATATTTATACAGTGGAATATTACTCAGCTATCAAAAATACAAACTCTCACCATTTATGGCAACATGGATGGTGCTAGAAGGGATTATGATAGCTTAATTAGTCAGAAGGAAAAAAGCTAAATAACATATAGTCTCATTTATATATGGAATTTGAAGAAACCAAAGGTCAAGAAAAAGTCAAAACTAGCAAGCTGATGATAGAACAAAGGCAAACTGCAAAGGAAGAGGTAGGGAAGAGGAGGGGTCAACACAAGGAAATGTGATGGTTCACAGGTGTACAGTGTTGAGAGAACTATGGGGGCAACAATGATGTAAGGAAAAAATTATTAATAAAAACAAAATATACTTAAGTGAATTTTTAGTTTTCTAGAACTTGTATATAAACATAAATGTAAGAATGAAGATAGGTCTCCTTAATATATTATTCCTCAAATGATACTATACCAATAAATTTTCAATTATTTCTTTTAATTTTTATTATTGTATATTTTTACATCATTTTTCATTTTTATATACTGTATGCTTTACCATCTTGAGTGTAGTCCCCATAAAATTTCCACCACCAACTCACCCATGCACCATCACCATAGTTCCTTCTGTTTTCCCATCCCTGTTTTGATTCTATTTCTGCCCCCACAGAGTATCTCTGCTTTATATCAACTATTTCTTAATTGCTGCCCACTACTTGCAATTAGTCTAACATTTCCACTTATCCAACTATTCTTATCCTCCAAAATATATGATGTATTTATTTTCCTTCAAAATTTTCTACTAGACAGCAATTTTGCCTTACCTTATTTTTCTAAACATTAATTTTAAGATATATGGGAAAGCTGGTCTTCAATTCCCTTCCACTAGTCATCAAATATGAACCACACACCAGTAATTATTCTTCTAGATTTCTTTTCTAAAATAATCTGTTAGAAATGCATTTAAGGCATTTTTGTATTCAAAATTAGGTATGAACATATCCAGCTATTTAATGTTTTATTTAATATTGATTAGTATTTAATCCATGAGAATATTAATAATCTCTTTTCTCCATATCAGTAACATTAATAACTAAGTAAGGCATTTATTGATGATCAGAAGAAATTAGTCTACTTTTCTAAAATTTCCTGAATATCCTTCAAGTCACATTGGAGAAGGCATGAATAATTTTTATATAAACATAAAACTTATATGGAAAATTTCCACAAAATTGTCCTTTCCAAAGGGTAATCCATAAGGACTTTCCTTACAAAACCTAAGTTGTAAATGAAGTATATATTTAAAGTAAGAATAGTCTCAAATTTAGAGAACATGAAGATCAGTCCTTAGACCAAAAATTACTTTTGACTATATTCTAATATCCAATCAAAATGAAAGCCTCATATTGGAACAGCTACAATAATGACTTTATGAAGAAGAGAGTTATGACTAGTGCTCTAAAGTAACAACAAACTTATTAAAAAGAAATAAGGCATAACTTATTTCAAGTCACATCAGTATATCAGCCATAAGTTTATAGAGTTTTATTAACTTTAAAGTGATTACCCTCCATTCTCAGAAGAGACAATACTGTGTATTGTCATCACACAATCCTGGTTGTGATAGTGATTATCACGCAGGCATCAGATCATTCAACTGCAGCCAAACTCTTAACTTCTGCTTTTCACAGTGCTCTTGAAATAAGGAGAACAAAAAAGTTTGTCCAAAAGAAATGGCTGAGTTCATGTGTAATTACTCTATTAAACAAATATTAATGGATCAAAGACAGTCTTTTCTGTTTGTGCCATAGCCCTTTCCAATAAATCTTTAGCCCCTCAAGGTAGGAAATGAGTCTATGTTATTCCTATTGAAACTACAGTGCTTTAAACAAGATGGGTGTGTTCAATAAATAAATAAATAGAAGTTGCTATTCCAAATCTACTGATGCTAAGATCAAAAATTATATTAAATCTACAAAAATAATTTTTCATGTGCAAATAAGTTAGATTGTAAATAATATTTTCACATAGTGCAACAATTTAAAAAAGAAGTTAATATTTTAATTTAACTCCAACATCATTCATGGAAACAGAATAGGGATGATTCTCATTTTATACATGAGAAAATGGCATTTACAGTTAAATTTACCAAGATCACAAATTAATACAATTACAGATACAATTTACCATTCTACAATTGCCTCTACAAAGTTTTTGTATTTTTACTCCCTAATATATTGGTTATTTGTCTTGTTTTTGATCAAAATCAGTAAATTTACTACTTGATCTTCCCTGTGGTCCATTATATAAATATGTAAGGAGTAGATATATGAGTATAAAATTAATAAAAACAAATTTACCAAATGAAATTATCTACATAGCTAAAAGTATTAAGAGACTGATTGATAACCCAAATTGTACCCTTTAAAATTTGGGGGGTTCCAAATTCAAATTTTTTCAGTGAGTAGAACAGATGTACAAACAGGTAAACTTATTTAACAAATTTCTCTAAGATAGGCATTTTGAATTTAAATGCTTAAATGTGTTTTAATTCAAAAGAAGAAAGTATATTCTGTCATTAAATTCTTTCAGATATTTACCTCCTCAATTCTATCAAACTAGGAATATTGATTTAAACTTGCAAAAAGATAGTTGATCAATTCCAAAAAAAATGGGAAGCATTTGACAATGTAGAAATTACTCCAGATCAGAAATAAGAAAGCTTTCACAAAATGAATGACATACAAAGAAACTGTAGTGTTCATTTGTGAATGTTGTTAACTATCAGATTCTACTATTACCCTTTTCAACTAAAAGGTAAGACAGTGTTCTCAATGTTTTGGGGACAGAAAATCCAAAGGTCAAATATTTTTAGATTAAACTGAAATAATCTCATTTACACAAATATTTTTTCCTATCCCCTATTTCCAACCAATAGGCGAAAAGTAGGTGGTACTAAAGGAAAGCACATTTGCCTTATTAGATGGAAGAGTCATTCAGTGAGATCTCTTCCCATCTTCAGGTGTCAAGTCTTAGAGGTACGACTAGCTGCATCAAGAGAAAGCAGATTGTGACAAGATCCAAAGAAGATTCCCCTCTCAAGGTAATTATGTAGATAATGTTTAAACTTCTAGGGCACTCTTACTTAAGAAGGTTTTTTTTTTTTTTAAATGTCTGGTTCTTAATCAAGAAGAAACTAGAGGGCATTAATTAAGTCTGGACAGGTTAGACTAAAGGTGCAATGGTACAATCAAATGGAAATGTCCACAAAAGAGGTGAGCTATGAATCCTGATGAATAAACTTAGAAGTCTGCATAGTTAAATGTATGCTGTTTCTCACTGCATGTTGGAGCCTACATAGAGTTATTACTACAAATTGAGGTGAAAATAGGACTAATGTCTGACCCTGGTGAGGCAAGGAGGATAATCCATGAATGAACCAAAAGAGGAACTTCACAGAAGTACTCAAAATATGAGGATACAGTGGCAAAAGTCAAGAGAAGGATGGACTCTGTCAAAACCTAGAGAGAATTCCATCCCATAATCTTAAAAATTATACTGAAACACACACATTATGAACAAACTTGATTGGAGTTGTTCTAAATATGTAGGTGGATTTAAAAGCCTTACTGCAGTGAATTGTATATAAGAATAACATACAATTCTTCAACAGTAACAGCTATTGAAGAGCATCACTATTATACAACATACACAAAACGTGAATGAGACTAAGAGAAATGCGACTAAAGAACAATGAAATGTGGAATTGTAAACACCTTGTAAACATTTTGTTGTCTTTAAGATAAAGAGCAATGAGAAACTAATAAAAAAAAAGTTACTAATCAAATTTACATTTTACTAACTTTATAGTGACTACACAAAATTGAAAGGACTATAGATTAGTTAAAGCTTATTTTGATAGTCAAAAAATGAAAACTCTAATAGATAAAAAGCATGTACTGCCTACAACATTGCCTATCACTACATAATTGGCAATCAATAAGTATTTCTTGAGTTAAAGAATGGTCTGAATGAGATACAATACTAACTTGGATAGGTGCTATTGACAAAGACGAGATAAGTAAATTAATTACACTGAATGGAAATAAAATATAGAGCGGTTTTATGGACTAGTTAGTGAGCATGGGAAGATGAGAGGGAGAACAGAAACTTACTCGGGATTCTTTGTTACACTATTGAGTGAATAATGTGCCATTCACTGAAATGGGGAATACTTGAAAGAGATTGTTTCAGTGGGAAAGATGATGATGTAAATTGATTTGGTTCAGATTCAGATCAAAATACCAGTGGTTTTAGTAAGTTTTCTGATTCTTAAAGTTGATCTAATGGCACCAATGCAAGGTAAATCCTTAGATCTCACTAATTTCTCACAAGTCAAGTGCTACTAGAGACTTCTACTGAGCCTTCCTGAGGTAATTCCTATATAGAAAACGATTGCATTTATTTACCTTTTTTTTTTTCATTCACAAAATTCCTAGTATCAGAAGTCTTTTGTTCCATAACGTTGATACTAATAATTTAGCATGATGAAACATCAGATACCTGCCATCCATGAAGTCATATTAGAAGGATTACAAAATGAGGTGTTTAAAAATGAGACTAAGACAGATAAGAAATAGATTTGAGTATTCAATAAATATAATCATGATGTAGACTTTACCTAAAAATGAGTAATCAGCAGGCAGAGTACATAATAATTTTAAAATATTTTTCAGAGAACAGGTATAAGGATCATGTAAGATTATAAACTCCACATTAAGGTTTAAAACAAATTCACAGTAAAGTTTAATTTTAGGAAAGATTATTGTCTTTCTTCTTCAAATTGTTACTAAAATTTTAATTTTATAACACTGTGAAGTTTGGTAATATACATTTTTTTCATTGTCAAGCACATAAAAATATTTTCTCTTATTTCGTTATTACAGGGGTTAAGAGGACAGGATGAAGTCTCTAATCTTGACTGGGCTCATCTTGACCTTTGCAGTTTGTTTTCCGGTAAGATTCTATACACTTACAATTGGAAAAACTACCTGAAATTAAGAGCATCATAGCAGTAAGGTGGGATTTGGAATGATCTTACAGAATTGTACTTTTTAAAAGAGAACAGAATCACATGAAATAGAAAGAAAAATGATTAATTACCTTTTATATCTAACACCTATGGGATACATCTGTTTAGAAACATCTGGAATTTGAAAAGGGGCAAAGCAATAAGAGATATAAAAGGAAAAAGAGAGGAAGAGGGTGAAAATCTGAAGGCATGACTGACAATTGAGCAGTGTAAGGTATAAGAAAATTTCCAAATAAATTTGGAGGAAGAGAACTAAATTTGCAAAGGAATTATCAAGACTTCCACTTCTCCTTAATGTCCACCATCCATCTGCAACCTCCAAAGAAATTCCTCTCTCAAGGTTAATAATGGGACCATGTTTACACATCTCTCAAGTTTTTCTCTCAACCTCTGTATCTATTACTACATTCTCACTAAAGCTATAATATGTTCTTCCACTTAAGACATAAACACAATGAAAAGGAAGACAGTCTCTTCTATTGATAGCTAAAATAAACAACTATTGCTGCTTCATATATATGACTACTCTGAAACATAACTTGTGAAAATAGGTTCTTATGTACCTCTTTAAGTGAGTGTCAGTTCTGAATTTTTGGTCTTTTGCTTCTCCCTTTTATATCTCTTTCAATTAAAAAAAATACCTTTTGCTCTTCTGATGAAATTATGTGCTATTCACAAGTTCTCTGTCTCACTTGGACAAGGGAGTATAATGCCTACTGTTTTTAGAATGATGTTGATCTTCAATTTCTTTTCAGTTACATTTTACCAACAATGTTTCATTCTACCAATCTTTTATCTTTTCTACCATCACTATTATTTTACTTACAGAATTCTTCCCACAACATTCTGTGCCTCAAACAAAGCTTTTATAGCCAAGGGATAGTCTGTTTTTGTTGCTTTTTTTTATATCTAATTTACTAAAGTCAACATCAAAAACTTTTCTTATCATTTCTAAGCTGTGGATTCACACCATATGATCCTTCTGTTAATTCCTAAAGGATTGACAATCTGTGGTCTTTCAGAGAAAAAAAAGAAATCATAGATTTAGTGGTAGTATTTTAAGACTCAAACTAGTTGGATTTCCCTAAATGACATTTTTTTTTTAAAGATTTATTTACTTGTACATACAGAACAGGCCAGAGGCTCAGGGGTGGCAAGAGGCTTCACCAGAGACAAAGTGGGGAGCAGAACAGGCAGATCAACGAAGTACACTGCTGAGGGGAGCAGTGGGCGGGTCAGGAGAGGTCTGCCACCTCTCCATGTGGTCACCTCCAGGGTGGGGATTGAACTCATGCGGAAGTAGCTTTAGCTTCTCAGTGCAGTGCTTTAACCCACTGCACCACCAGGCAGGGCCAATGACATTATTTTTTAATTTTGATTTGATTTTCTTAGCAAATGCACTAAGCATAGAAGATAATGTCTAACTACTTTGTATAATCATTTATATTAAATTTATAATCAATTTAAATCTAAATTTATATCACATTCAAAACCAAACCACCAACAGATAAGTTTCTGATTGGAAATTTTACTTGGTAATGTTTTTTATTTTTTCCCCCTGCAGTTCACTGAGAGTCAGCAGTCACGCCAGGCAGCCAAAAGTAAATCAGTTCGAAATGTCCCTGCTAGGACATCACAAAACAAATCTCCATCCATCCAGGCAATTAAGAAACCACGAGCCAATTCTGCCTCCTCCTTGCCTGTACTAAACAACAAGGCGGGCAGTCGATTATCCTCAAAGTCTAAGACAGCAAGTAAAAGTAAAAAATCTGTCCAGTCATCAAAAGCCAGTTCTAAGAAAAAGTCCTCTCCCAAAAAACAAACATCTAGGTCCACAGCAATAAAAAGCTCCCCCCAAATTCGTTCCACCGCGAAGAAAAATCCAACTAAATCTGCTAACAAAAAGCAAAGTCAGACAAAAGCCTCTAAAGGAGCCACCAAAAAAAGTTCAACCAAAAAGAAAACAGTAAAGAAACAAACTAAATCAACTGCAGTCAAGAAAGGGGCAGTTTCTAAAGCCAAAAAGAACACACAACCAAAATCAAAGAAAGGAACAAGTTCCTCGTCAAAAGCTGCCAGGAAGCAACCCAGTCAAGCAAAAGGAGGCAAAAACACTCTGGCTAAAAAGAAAAACTCTAAAAATTCTAAACCAACTGCCAAAAAAGCTAAATCTGCTCAAGCAAAAGGAAAATGTTCTCTTGGTAAGAAGGCAAAAACAAATGTTGCAAAGAGTAGATCTACAAAACCAGCTAGAAAGAGCCATTCCACATCTGTAAAGGCAAAAGAGTGCAAAACTAAATCATCGAAGAAAGATGTAAAACCTCATAAATGCACTCGAGGTAAAAGACCACCTCCCTTAACCGGCAAAACTGGAAAGAAATCTTCCTGTGCTCAAAAAGGGTCGAAATCATCTAAAACAAAAAGACCTAAATCTGTTCAAGCTGCACATAAACAGCGTCGACCTCATAAGGCCACAAAATCATCAAAGTCTCATGTCCCTAAGGATCGTCAGGACTATCCACGTGCACCAAAGCCAGGGCCACATCACAAAGCTCCTGTGCCCCATAAACCAAAACCTTCAAGAGAAAAATATACTACAGCTGCCACAACAGAAGAAGCTACCACAGCTGAAGCTAC